TTATTCTAGTTGATACTGTTTAGTACAAGAAGTAAGATGCTGTTGAATTACAGTATATATATAGTGTATTTTATGAAAAATATCCCCAAATGAAAAATTCCCCAAAACTAAAATCCCCATTTGGTGACCAGAATTTATATTAATTGTATTTTTTTCCCCAAATGGGAATATGATTTGGGGGTTAATTCAGGGAACCACAATTCGGGGCAAATGATAACCTACCAGGGTGTAGGTGGGCGTTAGATGTAGAGATGCAATCTATTCAAATCTAACCAATTCTAATTGTTGCTTCGGAATCGGTCTGAAAAAAGAATTGGTGACTAAACGATAACTTTCGAAATATGTGAGAGATCGGCGATTTTACAAAAAACAATTCCAACCGATTTCGACCAATTTCCAGTATTGGATCTGGATGGGATGAGTGTAGGTTCAAGCTTTGTCAAAAAATATGCTCATACTGATATCCGCAGCCATACTCAAAGCGTTGGAACTTTTATCTTACAAGATAGTCAAATCACTGTTTAACAACTGATCGTATCAATCCCTCTGTTTTTTGTTGAATTCTAATAAATTGAAAAGAAATATAAAATAATCGGTTAAGCCATTTAAAAAGATATCACTCGTTCGTCTGTTTCTTTCCCTCCGATATTGAAGTAAAAACAGTCGGGTTTCTTTTTCGAATGGAACATCTAGCATTGTCATATTTGATCAGCAATGGGCAAAGACTATAATGAAAAAGATTGTTCTAGAATTTCGGTCCACATTGGAGAATCAATAAATGCCAAATGTTTCTAACATGATTAGGTATAAGTAGTACCAAATGATGCGCATTTTTCTATCATTCAGAATATGATAATTGAAACTGGTGAAATAGATGACCTTATCTTGGCCTAGGGTTCACATTATTATGAATAGTCTTGCAAATAACATACCAAATGTTTAGCAATTATCATAAATGTAGTACTTGAAACTTGAATTCAATTTGAATTTCAACTTTTCGATCTTTAACCTTCGCATCTCGGCATACACGTCAAACCTGAAAGTTGAATGCAATTATTGAAAAACTCTTTCAGATAGTCAGACAATCAATTATTCATTCAGTTAGATATAGGTGATACAGGAAGTTTTTAGTGCGAGAGCATCAGATGGGCTCGCTCCTTTTCTCTCGGTTTGGAGAGATGCCCAACGTGTGGGTGCGGGAAAGGACTTTCAATCTCAAGGGAAGGTCGTGGGAGAGGGCGAGGCGCTGTATGTCGATGCGGGAAGGGATCTTTATGAGAAGCAGCGACGACGGTGGTTGTGGCCCAATTATTATATATCTGAACAACTGAATATCTAAATTTGAAGTGTTCGAATAATTGACTACTGGAGTATTCGAACAAGTTTTTCAAGAACGGAATTGAACACACAGTTTTGATACTAGTGTGAAATGGAAAATTGCAACCTGGAAAGTTGAAAGTAGGCATGCACCAAATCCTCTCTTTAAGTGATGAAGATGACTCATTTTTAATGTCAAGAGCCGTCAGTTTCTGTCAAACCTTCGGGTGCTCTTTACTCAATTTTTATTGCTCTATCTTATGCTAGTTACAAATATGTCAAATCCGACTGAAAAATATGCAGGATTTGACAGGACTTTACCGAAAATTCACGTTTTGGGTCAAATTCTGTCAAATCCTGCACATTTTATAGTAGGATTTGACATATCTATAACTAGCATCAGATAAAGCAATAAAAGTTGAGTAGAAAGCGCGCGAAGATTTAACAGGAACTGACGGTTCTTGACATCGTAAATGAATCATCTTTATCACCTAAAATCAGGATTTGGTGCATGCCTAGTTGAAAGTCGAAAGTTGAAACTTGAACAGAGGTATTTCAATTGAATTCAAGTTTCGAGTTGGACACTATTGGTGTGTATAGGTGTTTGGTCTTCCGTACAGCCACACTCACTCACCTGACCACGTAAGCCTTAAATAAAAAAAAACTTCCACAATGAGCGACACTTTTCTTGGAAATTTTTTCTTTCTTTTTCTGCTCTGCAAGTTGGAAAAAAACAAAGATTATTTACGAAAAAGAGACGGTAGTGTAATGTATGGAAATATGTTGGATCATTTTTCTTTCTGAATTTATTATTTTGTCCGATTTAGAATGGCTGAAAATAATGCGTTTCATCGATTTATACAAATGTCATGGGAAGATGAAAAATTTTTGCCTATCGAGAGATTAGAAACAAATAACGCTCCTCTTACCATAACACAAGCTGTCCAACGAACAAAAGTACACATGCCAGATTTGGATGTTTGCATCGAAGACGTTATGAAACGTCTTCCTGACGATAAACAATACAAACTTACTTTGGATGAACGTGTCGCTTTACGTTTGTGTACTGAAAAAGTCGCCGAAGAGAGCTTGTGTGTACGACTGGATCGAACATTGCGTTCTGAAGATAAAAAAGCGCGCAATCCATGGCAACCATTTCTTCAATTATTCTATTCCGCAACTAAAAAATTGCCTGATTACCAAGGGCGCTGTTGGCGAGCTGGCACAGCTGAAATAGTAAAGCAAATACAAAAAGGAAAGTGTATTACCTGGTCGGGTATAAGTTCTTGTTCAATTCAGTTCGAATTGATTGAAAAAGAGTGTCTCGACAAAAATGGAATACTATTTATGATCGATACTATTTGTGCCAAAGATATTTCGAAATATTCGACGGATCCTTACGCACTAGAAATTATTTTAATGCCAGGCACTCGTCTAGTGGTGAAAAATATAGAACCTTATAAGAAAGATAGTACTATAACACCAGTATATTTACAAGAACAAGTCGTAGCAGAAAAAGAAGCAACTAGATCAATCCAAGTGAAACCAGAGAGCCCTTATGAGCAGACACCATTTGGTTAGTAGCAATTTTTTATTTCTACAATTGATTTTAAAAAATGCTTTAACTGATCATAATTTGGTTCTTTACTCTCGCTTCTTACGAATTACGCCGGATTTATCTCTTGATCTCTGTCTGTAAATAAAAAATCAAAGTACATTAGAAATCTATATAGAAAATCTAATACAAATAAGAAAATTAGACCATGGTCATTGGGAAATTGAATTTAAAAAGAAGGCAACATTTGTACCGAGAAGCAATACCTTTTTTTGAAACTATTCAATCTGGTGGCAAGAAAAGATGCTCACCCAAATACTTTACTTTACAAGAAAGTGTAGTTGGTAAATAGGTACATTGAGAAATTTCTTGGTTTTCTTGGAAATTTCAAAAAAAAGTCGTTTCTAAGCACGAAATACTTTTCAAAGAACAAACTCTTCAAATGGAGGCACTTGACGCTTGATAGAGCTGCTGATGTGATCTATCCAAATTATATGACCAAGTTTTCAGCGTAGTTGAACAAAGGAATCATTTAGATTATAGCATACTTTTTGTGGAGTGGAATGAGCAAGAGGAATTTCCACTAATATATTTCATAAATTAAAAAAGTTCAAAGTGACAACAGTTGTTAAGAAGTGATTCAATATCGAAGAAAGCACGTTTTTAATTCCAAGACAAATGAGATCACAAGATTTTGAAGAGTAAACGGGACATAGGGATCCGTAGAGAAAGACTTCCTGGTTCTGACAGTGTATTTATTATCAAGCTTTATAAGATTCTAGCGGTATACAATAGAATTTGACATCATATGCACCATTAAAAGGAGGAAGTTTTCCTCTATCCACTTACATTATTGTCATTCTGGACTTCAAAGCCATTGCAGTATTCGAATTCATCTATAGTGCTATGATTTGATAAGGCCAAGCAGCCATTGACGTTTAGTTAGTAATGGCAGAGCAAGATTTTTAATCTTCTCAATAGGTTTACCATTGAACCATCTAGCAGTACTTAAAAAGCACTCAACAAAAGATTCTATGCCTGTATCTGACATCAAGGGTCCCTGAAAGTAGTAGTCAAATGCAAAAAAACTTAGGCCGTGTGATTTTACAAGTGCAAGGTACGAATTCAGTGCTTTGAGTGAATTTTAGTATACAATAATACACATAATATAGATTCAATAAGTTTCAAATGGATCGAAATCTGTTTGAATATTTAAGTTGTGCAATTTATTCATTAGGCAAGCTATATATAAATTATAAAACCATCATTTGAAACGGATTCTCATTTACTGCATAGAAGCATTGTTACTATAATGCTATGTTTAGAACGCCATATATGCATTCAAAAATCAGTAATTTTAATCTTTTTTTGGCAAATACAAATTCAACAAAGAGTTTTACAAGTGCACTGGATGAGTTCCTGAAGATAGATACCACTGTGTTATCAGTGGTTTCAAAAATCATCTCTAACTACACTATATTAACCAATTATCCCTACAACCCTACCACAACCAATGTCACATCTTTGGATATACCGATCGTAACTGCTACCTAATAATAAACCAACATTTTTCGGTCTGATATAAACATGAGAAATAATTGAAAAAATATTGAGAATTGCTGCGTCGAATACGTGTAAGACGTTATGTTTCAGTGTTTTACTAGCATCTGAAATTGGGCAGATGTTGAGTCTTGTAATTCATTCTCATCGCTACACATATGAAATAAAAAGAAGCTACTATTAGTAATAATTGTACTAAATTATGGAAAAAATTAAATTCGTATCAAGATAAAATTGGTAGTATATTAAATACTCACCTATAGATACTTCTTTGACTCTGAAACCACTTGGATTATGCCAGTTTGTGAAAAGTCAATTTATGTCATGGCTCATACGAACGAATGGTCATCGTGAGAATTAAATTAAGTCAGTAAAAACGTCACTTTTCGATTTCTGTGATAGGACAATTTCGTGAGAAGAATGCAAATATCAGGGAATTTAATATTTGTATGAACTTGACGAGATTTTTGCAGTTCCTACGAAACTTCTATCTCATGTTATTTTAAAAAAACTGTGTGAGAAATGGTAAGAATTCATCAATACCTGAGGGCCTTATTGCTCTTCTGAAGGGAGAGTATTTTGAAAATAGTCAAACATCTAATTCTCTGCAGACTTTTAAAAAAGCTTGTTAACTAAAAACCACTTATTCCAGCGAATCCTCCATGGAACGTTGTTTGAACTTGGCAGAAACATATAACTGAAAATTCTACTTTTCTTTTACAGGAATACATGAAATCCGATCTTAGATGTTGACAATATCATACAATCACCATCACGAGTCTTGTAAGGTTCTTGCCGCAAGTTCATATAAACTTCTGTTAGTAACTCTGAGAAGCTTTTTGATACACTCTGTAACGTCTTGTTGGCATAGAATGTTTGCTAGTATTGAAGTATCAAAAATTTCGTCACTACTTCGAAGTAACTGTGCGGAACAGTTGATGCTGCCCATCCTGTATTTAAATATAGAATGTAGTATCGATAATTCTGTTCTCATGCAACTGGAATTCACGTTAAAAATATTCAAAAATCTACACTCTCCACTTTACAATAGTCTATTACCTAAGCTAAATAATGCATTTGTAGAATACTGAGAACAAGAAGAAGGGCTTTATTTTCCAGAGAAGTGTCGACACGTTGTGAAAAATAAGCGGATCCAAGTAGTCGTCACGACTACGTAATGCATTTGAAGAGTATTGGCAAGTGTAATCTCATACCTTATTTCCCTAGTTTCACTTCATATCACACAAGCATTGTGCGAGACGAATGCTCTTCGTGGCCAAGATTAGACACTAACAGTTACATACGAATGCCACGTCATGTTGAGTGGCACTTTGCTCATTTCTTGTTTTTTAAAGTCTCTCTCGTTTGAACGTCCATTTACAAAGTCTTTCAATGGCGTCAAAGTAGAAAACTCGACAAAGTACATCACCCTATTGAGAGCAGATGTCTGTTCGCTGAGAGTTCTCAACTGTATTCGTTGAAACTGACCAATATAGGGCATCTATAGATAATAGAGTCGATCGAATGGAAGAATCAACCACCCTGCATATCAAAGGTAAACATTCTGAAACTTGCCCATAGATGGAGTACGAATGATAGTCATTTGCTATCAGTGAAACGCATCGGTGAAGCATCAGATTCAGTTAATGCTGAGAGTAGCTCATCTTCTCGTTTTTTAATATTACTGAGTGTGCTTAAGAAAATAATATTCAACCTGATCCAAAGCAGTATGCACATCTTAATCTTGTCAATAAGTCACATTTCATTTTCAGCTGAAGCTGTCGTCAATCCGTCCTGTGATACAATGTTGAAAAAGCAAGCTGAATTGAAAGCATACTATGATAATTTTCCAAATATCGATGCCACTACTAATTTAACTAATCCTGACATTAAAAAGGCAGAAGAATTTACCAAATCAATATTAAATAGAAAACCATCGGGGAGAGTGACTGAGAAGGATACTGCATGTCATGTCCTAAACAAATTGTTGGGAAATAAAGATCAGCAATGTTTATTTTATGATTCTGCAAGTGGTATCAATCTTCATGATGCATCTGGAAATTTAGCTGATATTGGCTTTGAAGACAAACCATTCGTCTTGAAGTTAAATAGTATTCAAGGTTTAGGAGGTGACAAGAGTACAAAAACTGACGAAGATGACATAAAACTTGTGGAAATCTTAGAAAATTTCATTGAACAAAACAAATCTCATGCAATTATTGAAGACATATGTGATCGATTAGCAAAAGCACACGGAGTTGATAAAAACTCCATTGTCATCAAAAATGTGTTCTTTGGAACATTCAATGTAGTTTATACAGTGTTAAATTTGGCACGAACTGTAGTTACAGAGCTGCACAAAACTTCACAAAAATTGAAGGCTCAATTTGGCCAATTCGTGAGTGCAAAACTTCATCCATTATTATTCCGTCCATCATTTGATATAGCCTTTTTTGATGCCCGCGGGAATAAAACATTCAGTAGCCAATCAGAGACTTACCAAATCGGTCCCCCTGGACGCACCAAAACATATACTACAGCCCCTGGTTGGACTAGATATGGACTAAACGTGCTGGGTAAGAGCGCGTATGTCAACGACGATTGGCTGCATCCATTCCAGCATGCTGGTAATTGGTACAGAGCTTTTCACGGTACAGGAGGGGCACAACAAATAGATTTTCGAGATTCTAATGCATATTCCGGGGAAAATACTGCATGCGTGGACGCTCTCTCAAGTATTTTTCAAGATGGCTTTCGTCCTGCAAGAACTGCTGCATATGGGCCGGGTGTTTACTGT